GGTATGGGGGTGTTGGTGGGGTTATTGGGGGTTCTGGACCTTTTTTTTTTTCTTTTTCTTTTTTTGCGGGGTGCCCACGATCCCTGACCAGTATCAGGGTGTTGTGGGGCGGTTTGGGGGTGTTGGGGAGGTGTATGGGGGTGTTGGTGGGGTTATTGGGGGTTCTGGACCTTTTTTTTTCTTCTTTTTTTTTTCGCGGGTTGCCCACGATCCCTGACCAGTAGGTGCCGGCCAGCCGACCGGTTGGCTGGGCGGCAAGGCCGCCGACCGTTGGGGTGTGGAACACATCTTGCCGGTGTAAAAGGAACCGGACTGACGCTCCCCGGAATGGCTATGGAGCCACAACCGCTAAGGTTCTGTGTGTGTTTGTTTTTTTTTTTTAAGAAAAAAGAAGAAGAGATGTGGAGGTCATTTCAGCCTGGGAACAGTATGTTCATTCTGTGAATGTCAAATGCAGCCCAAATCTGAGCTTGTTTCCAAAATCTGTTTCTTGGGCCGGTGCATAGTACTGCATATGGTTTTGTTTTCTTTTTTCCTTAAAAAAAAGGGCGACGGCTGTGAGATATCCGTCATTGAACTGACCGACCCTACTCAATTCAGAATTATATTTATTCTGTTAAATCTGATTGTGTGAGATATCAGTCATTGAACTAACCGGCCCTAGGCAATTCAGAATAATATTTATGCTGTGAATCTGGTTGTGTCTGGATTCGAACTTGGCTCTGTATTTCAACAGTTTGAGGGTGTACCAACTGAGCTAGGCTGGTTGGTACTTCATATAGTTTTCTTTCAATTTTTTTTATTTTTTTTTGGACTTGGAAATTGGGAAATAATTTCAAGGTTACCCTAGGTCTGACTGGCTGGCAATGGATGTTCTCGGCAAGGATGCAGAGGACGCTGAATTATATGACGTGGCAACCTACCAGCTGCCCTAGCTCAGTTGAAATACAGCCAAGCCGAAGCTGGGTAATGGCCCCGGCCCCAGTACGCCGGGTTGAGATTTGGAGGGGGTTCCCGTAGTTGGTCATTAGTTTTTGAATAGCGGACGCCTACTCTCAGCTGATACTTGGGTGCTGTTAGACCTAGATATGCAGTCCTTTGATGGGTCCAAGGTGGCGTTCCAGTCACCTGTGATTATACAGGGTAAGACTGATGATGAAATGATCTGGTTGATGCCTTGATTGAAGAGTGTCCCTTCCCTTTTGAGTTGTTAGGGGCATAGATATTAAACCACCAGTACTTGGCCCAGCTATCGGCCGCGACGCTTCCCCGTTAACGCGCCACGGCATTCGGGCTTCTGCCTAACGGACCGCATTGGCTGGAGGCCACAGCCAAAAACGAAACAAAAAAGACCGACGGCGGTTCGGCAGGACTTGGCGCGCAGGGGGCTGGGAGGCTCGGCTTTGATAGCTGGGCCAAGTACTGGTGGTTAATTAACTGGAGTTCTTCCTCCTTCCATTTGAGGTCCATGTAACACACCATGTTCCCTCCCTGGGATCTGAGCCTGTGTCTAGAATCTCCCCTGATCAATTTTGAATGTTTTGGTATGAAAAAAAAGAAAAGGGATAGCTGTTTCCCTTCTGCTCGCCTCGCTGTCTGATGCCCACATTTCATCTCTGACTCCATCTAATGGCCTCTTAAAAATTGTCTGAATTCGGTGGCAGTCATGGGATGTCGACAGGTGGGTCTCTTGTACAAGCACAATGTCTACTATTTTGTTGTTGCGGTCTTTCAGCCCCTTTAAAATATCTGATAATTTGTCCTCCTTTGCCAAATAGTACCCTGCCCGTTTTAGAATCTCTATCTTTTCTCTATCTCTATACTTAAAAAAACTATAGCGGGCCCGCCGTGACGCCAGCGGTCGAGCCCAGCGAAAACCGACGGAGGAGGCAAGGCGGGATCAGGCGGGGGCCRGGGAGTACCAAGTCCCGCGCCGCGCCGTCGTCGAGTCTAGGGCCCGTCGTTTCGCGGGAGCGTTTCGTTTTTGGGGGCCACGCTGAGTCTGCGTTAGGCGGGGCTCTTTTTGGGTGGGGGGGCGCGCTCCTTTCGTGCGCTGCGCGGAAGCTGTGTTCGTTTTCGCATCAGCCGCTGCGCTGTTTGCGATCCGGGGGGAGCCTGCGCGGGGGGGGGGGATCTTTTTGGTCGGGGGGCCGCGCAGGCTGTGTTGGTTTTTGCGTCGACCGGTGCGCTGTTTTCCGGTTCGCGCTCGGAGCGTGCGTTGGGGGGGGGGGTTCACCGCTTGAATTTCGTGTGTGGTTGCGTTGCACGCCACTCCAATATGCATCGATGTAGTCGACGTTGTTATCCCACCGTTGGTTCGTTCTGCGCGCGGTGATGTCGATTCGGGGTGGAGGTGTTGGGGGGAGATGCGCGGCGCGGCTATTTAGCTGCGAGAGACGATGCGGGCCGTGCGACTCGTGCGCAATCTGTTTCATGAGAGAGAGAGAGAGAGAGAGAGAGAGAGAGAGAGAGAGAGAGAGAGAGA